TCTTGTCGTTATATCGTATATATATCTGTGTAAGACGGAATCGCAAGGGAGCGGGGAAAAAATTCCGTCTTAGACATTTCCCGTCTTAGACAGGGGAATTTAGGGGGGGGGGGGGGTTCAACGGCTCAGCCGGTGGGATCAAGGATCGCTTGTCCGATCCGCAAGCAGTGATCAAAACTTCACACCTCTCAGCTTCTATCTTGTCTGATAGTGACATGCATCAGTCTTACTTATCCAATTACATGTACCATCAGTGCTTGCCTTTCATAGGACCACTGTTTGACCTATCAAAAACAGAAACGTTTGAACATCTCCGTTGTTTCTCCCCTTAGTCCCACCCACCAAGGCCACCACTTACTGCCATCATTGTAACAACGATTCGAGGAACTCTTTTCTCGGCCCGCCGTACCATCAGGGCGGCAGGCATTGGTCAATTTAATTTCACACCTCTGGCTTCTGGCTACCTAGGAAAGTTTCCTAAGTGGCTGGCTACTCGAGCACTCTCACGGGCAGTCGTGAGATATCACACCCACACTACACTGACCATGTGCAGCGCTAAGTGCTCACATGATGGGGTAACATAGATTAACTTCTACTGTACCCCCATGGCGTTAAGTTTAGAGCCGGTGGAATCAAACTTGCGAGTTTTGTTTCAAATCAGGGCTGAGCGGGCAAAGCATTTTCCGTCTTAGACAGGTGAAACCCTCGGAAGGGAGCGGATTTTTCTTTCCGTTTCCGCGTTGGACAGGTTTCCGTTTTATACAGGCAATTAAAGAGGAATATATCAAGGGGGGAGCGGGGAGATTCCGTCAAGACAGGTTTCCGTTTTACACAGGTTTCCATTAAGGCAGGTTCGGCTGTATATATATATATATATATCTATGTAAGACGGAATCACAAGGGAGCCAGAAAAAAATTCCGTCTTAGACATTTTCCGTCTCAGACAATGGAATTTAGAGGGAGATGGAGGTTGGGGAAGGTTCAAAGGCCCAGCCGGTGGGATCAAGGATCGCTTGTCTGATCGGCAAGCAGTAGTCAATAGTCAAAACTTCACACCTCTCAATTGGTATCCTGTCTGATAATGACATGCGTCAGTCTTTCTTATCCAATTGCCACCAGTGCTTGCCTTTCATAGGACCTCTGCTTGACCAATTAAACACAGAAACGTTTGAACATCTCCTTTGATTCCACCCTGAGCCCCACCCACCCATGCCACAGGGCGGCAGGCATTGGTCAATCTAATTTCACACCTCTGGCTTCTGGCTACCCAGGAAAGTTTCCGCAGTGGCCAAGTCCTTCTCAGGGGCCCCTGAGAAGGACTAGGCAGTGGCTCTCTACTCGAGCACTCTCACGGGAAGTCGTGAGATTTCACACCCACACTACACTGACCATCTGCATTACTCGGGGCTCACATGATGGGGTAACATATAACCCCAAATTGCACCCCTACTCCTCTTCCTCGCCCAGCGGCATTGCCATAGCGTTAAGTTTAGAGCCGGCGGAACCAAACTTGTGAGTTTTGTTTCAAATCTGGGCTGAGCAGGCAAAGCATTTTCCGTCTTAGACAGGTGAAACCCTAGGAAGGGAGCGGATTTTTCTTTCCGTTTCCGCGTTGGACATGTTTCCTTTTTAGAGCTATATATAGGTAATTAAAGAGTAATATTTCAAGGGGGAAGCGGGGAGATTCCGTTAAGACAGGTTTCCGTTTTATACAGGTTTCCGTTAAGGCACGTTCGACATGTACATTGTATGTAATATATATAAATGTCATACCTCCCTCACCGTCTCTGTTTATCTTTAACTCTCTATCTCTCTACCTTTACTCTATTTAACCCCCCCCCCCCCCCCCCCCCAAAACCAAACCCTTTTTTTCCCCCTCACACCGTGCCGGGACGCTGACTGATGCGGGCTCTGGTTGTTTCCCACGTTCGCGTGTATGGCTAGGGGGATAACTAGTTGTTAGTTTTTTTATATATTTTTTTTTTTATAATTTCTGTCTCCCCCGACGCCCCCCCGTTGCCCTGATAGACATACGCGTATGGTGTGGTCATGCATGAGAGAGGAGAGAGAGAGAAGAAAGAGAGCTGAAATGAAGATCACTCCATAAAACGAGCTGTAAAAAAAAGAGCAGAGAGTGTATGTAGAGATAGACGCCTGACGATACAGGGCAGTTGTTGAGTTGCAGTGGGGCGGCGGACCAGGTGAAGAGCAGTGTGCGAGCGAGCCGGGTGGCTTGCCATAGCTCATCGTAGCTCTTTATCATAGTAGCTCAGACGACTAAGAAGTGTCATAAAATGTGAGCTTAACGTAACCTATACAGTAAATTAGAAGAAATGCCAGGAGCAGATCAGCACTAGCTGAGCATCAGCGCAAAGACTCCCAAATAGCCGTACCGGACCCCCCTAAC